GTGCTTTAAATCCTCAAGGTGGAATCTAACAAAGCTACTAAAACTCTGAGAAATTATTTTGGATATTTGTTATTTAAATCTTTGCTTTCAGCATCTGAGAGATAATTGGACTTAAGCTTTAAGGAGTCTTGTTGCATCAATAAGAAATGAACAATTTCCGGCTTTGGGCTCACATGAAGGTTTCTCGGAACACAACGAGGCCCATAAGTGTTCAAAGTAATTCAGATCAGCTTTAAGTTATACTAACAGCATTACTTATCATACAATAAAGTTAATGAATTACTTTCAAAAATAATTTATATATTACTGCCTGACAAAGAAAACCAACACTACCACCAACACTGTTAAACTTTTCACAGTTTGTCACTGATTCCATAGTCATTTCACCCCTTGAACATGTTGTATTTTGCTGATCTGTTATTGGAAACTTTCTGGAAGGTATGAAGAGAAGAGACATTTTGTACTGACAATGAAATACTTTGAAGACAAAATCTAACATTTTGTACAACTAATTATAAGGAATTTATTTAGATGACATATCACTTTCTTTGAAGCCTGGCATACATTGTGCGCTTTTTTTTAATCATTGCACGCAGCTACAGCTTTCACTGTACGACGGCCTGCAGGGTTTCATCGTACAGTGTGAGTTCACAGCTCAAGATGTATGTTCTCACCCTGTGCGACCCAACGCTCTGATGCGATCTAGCTGCTCACACTGTACGTCTAAAAACCCCGTTGGACTCAGCTCCGCAGTGAGATGGTGCTACTCGGAATAGTAGAAGAGGAATATGAAGCTCACTAGAGTCAAATGCACTGCCTTGGCAATTTGTGCAATTTTGTTTGCTGAAAGCCCTAAAAAGAAAAGGCGACGGCGCATTTGGACAAAGACATGGGTGAGCAAACGTGGCTACTACGGTCTGTCAATTTTAAAGAAAGAACTCCAATTCACTTGCACCCCCGCCATGCTTTTGTGTTTTCATCTGATAGAAGAAGAAGAATCCTTGTTTGTGATTGCCCACAGTGATTTGTTCACAACAGCCAACTGAATTTCAAACATGTTTGATATTCTCCCGATCTCCCGATTCTTGATTGGGAGGTGGTCGTGAGAGGCTCATTGCCCCTTCGTTACCCCCTGTACACTACATGTTGCAAAACGCATGATCAGGTTAAAAGTCGGCCCGATCGAAAAATTCTCGCACAACTGGAAAGTCATTCGGAAAAGGGCAAAAAATTACAGTGTACAGTACAGTGTATGCCCAGCTTAACAGAAAGTTTTGTTGATCCAACTGTAGCTCTGTTAGCAACCCTGATCCTTCTCCACTGACATAAAAGAGAAATCAGGTGAGCAGTAAGAAGTGAGCTCTACACACCAATCTTTCCTTCATGCAGGCTCTTCCATCAGTGCATTTTTCTCTCCACCTCAAATCAAACCTGTTCTAGTTTACGCCATAATTCCTACCTTAGCACTCCATCAGAAATAGTCTTTCAAAATGGATGGAGATGTAAACACTTGTGACACTGTGGTCATGTCACTGTGCCTCTGACTGATGCTGCATACTGGCTATTTGGCCACAGGGATATACCTTTGGCTGACTGCTCAGTGGCATGGCTTTCACCTGAGACTCTGTGGGAATGAATCCTATCCAGGCCCTTCATTGTCTACCTTGCCACTCATGAAAAGCAGTCGGTGTAAAATAATGGCCTGGGTTTTCTAGCTTTATCAGCAAACACCATCCAGTTTATAAGAAGAGCCATGTTGTAAATGTTAAGTTGTTGGTGTGTTTCTCCTTTTTGCAAATCATAACATAGTCAATCAAGGTAAGTTTTAAAATAAGGTAAATAAAACCATGTTTCACCGCCTTGCAGATAGTATTTGGTGAGTATTTGATTAGAATATTGTTTTTGCAAACATCTATTAAGTAGAAACTGTGAGGAGATACTTCAGTAAAGAACACTTTATATGTTAATTTTTTGAAAACCTTATTGAATAACTACAATAAAAATGTTAAACTGTTGCCCAGCACAAACTACATTGAATATCAGTGAATAGAATAAATGATGGATCCGCAGCCAGAAAACCTTGAAGTCGAATATCCAAGATAAATCTTTACCCGATATCTGAACCACTTTAACTGACAGAAGAGAGGGTTTGACTCTGAGCTCTCTAGAGATGACAAAGCTCTTCACCTTATCTTTAATACAGAGCCCTACTGCACTGTTAACAAATAACATTTCATCTGCCTGTATCTGGGATCTTGTTCTTTCAGTCATGATTTATATCTTATGATGGTTAGAACAGAGATGGACAAGTAAATCAAGCGCTTCACCTTTTGACTCAGTAATATCTTTACTCAATTGACCATGTCAAATTCCGTCCTAGCATCCCTTATGGAAAAAAAAAACAGAACAAAAATAAAAACAGGGGTACTTGAAAACAACCACTTAAAGCAAAAGCCTGTCACTGGCAGAGGAAACATTTAGCTTAACCTCAGAACAACATTTTTATAGAATTAAAGAGAAATGAAATAAGAGTCAAAAATGAGGAAACATCCCAAAATTGCATTGGGAGTCCATGCCTTAGGAAAAAAAGACTGCATCCAGTGTTTGAAACTACCCAGAATATTATGAATATTTTTAGCTTTAAACTAAAAGAAAGGATACAACAGTGTCAAATATGCAATTCCATATGAATAACACCATGTTTAGGGTTTTAACCCATTTAGGTTGTAAGGTACACAAAAAAACAAGGTACTCCTGCTGTATGTAGGTTTATGGTTCACTTATTAAATATCTCTGAATGTTCAAATCCTCCCCTGACATGAAGTGATTGTAATTCAGTTCCAAGACAAAAAATGTTTCGGATTACACAGTCAAAACAAAATTTGTGGAATGACTTGCAGAAGATTAATTGAAAACTGTCCTTTAGATATTTCCCCGGTTTGGAGCATAGACAGAGCAATATCCTATAATTAGCTGCCATTTGATCATCCCTCAGGTGCAGACTGCTGCAGACTGCAACTAAATCTAATTAAAAATATAATATAATTTGCTCATATTTAGTCTTGGACTATTAAGCAATGGGGAAGGATAAACACACTGTTTTTGTTTTCAGATCTAATAAATACAACCACCAAAAGGGAAAAAAATGCTGGTATAGGAGCAGCTTAGAGGTATCAGAAAGCAACCTAAAACCATGAGCTGCTCCCCTCATCTAATGTCAGGAAAGCCAAAAATCAACAAAAACTGAAGAGTGTTTATCTAAACAATATAAAAACAGATAACCATCCTGTCTCTCATCAATAGTTGAAACTACTTCTAGAGCATCTGATCCGATTTAAGCACCTTAGTACCAACAGAGCCCAGTTTAAGTGCCACAGTCTATCAGAGCTCTGTAGCTGACTATGTTCACCCCTTTATGACCACAGTGCACCTAGAGTACTGATATCTACCTCCAGAAAGATAATACACCCTGTCACCAAGCTCTGATCAAGTCAAACTGGATTCTTAAACATGGCAGAGAGTTCACTGTACTCTTCTGGGACTGCATTTATCCTGTAGGATCTATAATAAAGTGTATGTACACCCCAAGAGCCAAAAGTTCCATATAAAAAAAATATTACAGATTTTTCAAACCACATTACAGGCAAGTTTCCTTGACACCTGTTTGCTGAATAGTCTACACACAGCTCTACCACATGTTCAGCCCTAAACTGTCCATGCAAAGCAATGCATGAATTTTATAGCGTATTTAAATAAGACAATTAATCACTGTTATTTAAAAGTTACCAATGGCAACCACAAGGAAACCACAGATAAAAGGAAGTAATATTAATGGCAACAGAGTCTGATATGGACTGATCATATTAACAAGGACATGCAAGGCAGCAGAAAGCATAACACCGGGTGCTAGCAAAATTCTCAATAGATATGTGCATTATCTTTAACCATTAGTAAAGTAAAGTTTTTGCCCACATTAAAAACTCTATTTATAACTATAACTTTTAGATATTGATCAACTCATATATATATACACAACATACTTTTATTTCCTTTAGTTTAACTCATCCAGTCATCCTTCCTTATTTTGAACAGTGGAGTAATGTGACCGACCTCCTGGAGATGGATGGTGTGGATCCGGCAGGTTGGTCTCTCCAACACTAAACCCTTTTCACCACATGGACGGTACTCTGATCAGCCACTAAACCAGTCAAGACATCTTGGTCTTGAAAACACATTCCCTCCTGATTTTTCATTTTTTAACATTCTCAAGCAAGGCAACATCCATCCTGCACTATTATTTACTGTTGGCAGCACTATTAAAATGTTTGCAGCAATCAGTGTGTACCACTCAACCCATTGATCATTGGAGAGAGGAAGGTGCACTTTGATTAAGGATTTAAGCTGCTAAGGTCTTTATAAATCTATTTAAAAAGACCTGAGCGGTCATCTTGCATACTTATGGTTCACCAGTGTGAGCACAAATTAACATGCGATATTGGATGCATAGAATGACATAGTTCTGAGATTATTATCTCTAAAAAGTGAAATGGGAGGACTTCCATGCTCACCTCATGGTCTATGTTAGTGTTTCCCTCTTTCCCAGAGTTGTCATTAGGGACTGCACATTTTCACGCCAAGTTTGCTTTTTAAAGTTCATAACCTACATGTAGAAAATGGTGCATGCCAGTTTAAGGCCCCATTTTGTCCGTACGCAAGCTTGGTAAATCAGACAATGACATAGATTTGAGATTAACATCTCTGAACTTTTTTCCTACATAGTTCTAAACCTGTCCACAAAGAATTAAATAAAAATTAGATATAAACTAGCAAAAGCAAAGTTTACATATTAAAAAGCCACGGATAAGTGGATATAAGAGTATATTATTTGTTCTGGCTATTCAAAACAACACTGAATAAAAAAACATAAAGCAGATTTCAAACAGAAGCTGGTCTGCAATTAAAGGGCAGCTTCAGCATGGAGAACGTTGGAGCACACTTACTGTTGGTTGCATAACATATTGTTGATGAGGCATCCATGACGTACTCTGGACCTGAGGAAAAACAGATAAAATGTGTAATGACGTTAACAGTGTACATTTTTACGACATTTGGACCGAAATGAAGTCCAACATAAACAAATAAAAGCTGCCTACGTTTTTGCAGTATGTTCAAATAACGTTCCAGTCTGAAGACTTTAACACTTCTGCACTGGTTTTAATGCACCAAAGTGGCTTAGATTCCCACAGATTGAGTTAGGCCAAAGAATTACTGAAAGAATTTAAACGTCTGGAGGTGGCAAATTTCCCTCTTGCTTTGACAAAACAGCCAAAAGTTTGACTGGTGCATAAAATGGAGAGTTCATTCCTTTTCAGCATTATATTACTCTCCAAATAAATGGTGCTGCAAGAGAAGGTAAAAGGTCTTCCAAGGACACGCTTTCAAATAAAAACAAGGAACAAAACATTAATTTTTATTTTAGATTATTACTGTTTAAGAGAAAACACTTTCCAAGAAATAAGAGAGTAAGAGCTAATTTACAAAAAATAAAAACATTGTTGATATAGCAATAATGGAGACAATTTTTATGAAAATGGAAACATAGACGATGTACAAACGGAACTTTGTTTTATATAAAGGAGAGAAGAACTCGACAGCTTGTGGCTGACAAACAAACAGACCGGCCACAGATCCTGGTAAAACGATTGGATTAAACAAAGACAAACATGGAATAATCTGCTATAAGAGCAATCAATCCTCTAAGCCAACACAAATGCATGATTTGGATCCACACCTAAACACGGCTGATATACGAAAAGCACGCAGCCAAGTCGGCTTGTTTACACACAGCATTGTTTGTTCTCTGCAGCTGAACAGGACAGCAGATTGACACATAAAAAGCTTATTTGATCACTTCTCTTAAGAATTTCCTAACTAAGAAACTGCATTACAACCACAACAAGGTTTTCTGTGCCATTTGTTTGTCTGTAAACAAGATTATAGAAAAACTGCAAGGACAGAATTGTGTGCAACTAAATGAAGAATCTATTCGACCTTTTGTTCTGAACTGAACCACTTCCTTTAAAACTGAGACAGAGTGCAGGCCCTGGCAGGGGAAGAACATTCCAGCTTCTCTGTTAGTTTAAGAGATAAAGGGACCAACGTCTTGAGACTTAGACTTTTAAGACTGAAGGCTTTGGTTTTTTGGCTTTACAAGATCAAAGAGTACAAGGAAATAATGAGAGATGTGGTTTAGATCTCTGTTTGTTAATTAAATTGGTAGTCGTAAAATGTAAGGGATAGCCCTTCTAAAGCTGACTTAGATCTTCAGAGAAAGCAAAAAGCAATTAGCAAGAAGAACACACAGCTGCGCTAATCTAATTGAACTGCAAAACAGTCAAAAATAAAGTTAAAATACCCAATTATCCCAAAGACACTTAATGAAAATCAACATTTCACTTTGCCTTGCAGACGTCTGTGATGCACACATTCTTAAAAATTCCTTTCTTTGTTTTCCTTAACAATATTTATGAAAATACAAAGCAGGGTTGATTACTAAAAATCCTTTCCATTTCTCTATTATTAAAGTATAAGAAAAAGACAGTCCTATCATTGTTTCTACTGTATTGCATTATACATTTGCATCATTATCAAGTACACCGGTAAATTTTATTAGAATAGGCAATCTATTAAAACATTAACTGGATTCTGCCTACTGTACTAGAGCACAGTAATGAAGAATAGAAACATGTTGTGGTGAGCTTTTTCACTTAAGGACTAGTATTGGGATATTTTGAAAACAGGAACCATAAAAATCTTTAAAAATGAAACATCAATATTTACAGTTGGTCTTTATGACTTTATTTTGAGCCTTCTTTTTTTTATATAAAGGCACATAGTAATTTTCAAACAATTTTTTGAAAAAAATAAAAGATTTCTGAGCCATATATCTGTAAAAGACAACAACTACTTCCATAAATGGAAACTGATTTTATGATGTAATCTTTCTAAGAACGAAGTACCACTGCCAATAGTGTTAAATGAATTATGGATTTTCTTTCTTAACAAAAGAGATCATTCTTATAGCCATACTGTATGCCAATTCTATGTGTGCAGTGCAGAAAATTATAGAATGACAAATCTTACTTTTCTATGGAGGAAAAGTAGGTGTGCTGTGAACATAAACAGATACAAAGATTGGATCAACTACCACACAGAGCTGCTCTTTAAGCACAGTTTTTTTTTGCCTCAGGATTATGAAATATTTGGAATTCAGTATTTATTGGTAATATAACAAATCCATAATCCCACACACATCCTGCATATCTTTTTATAAATATCGGTAATAGCAGAACCCTGCGATGGACTGGCGACCTGTCCAGGGTGTACTCCAACTCTCACCCGTAGACAGCTGGAGAAAGGCACCAGCACCCCTCGCGACCCCGCTTGGGATAGGCGTGACAGAAAATGAATGGATGGTAATAGCAGATCCTTTATTTTTTCTCTCTGTTTGGGCCAAATGAACTACAGACTGTGCAGTATTCAGTATTTTGATCATCAATTTAAACACGTCTATCATAACCTTGAAATGATGTTTTAGGATTAAATTTCAAAATGCTTTTGAAAAACAAACCATAGATGGACTTTTGTGGCAATTACACAAGGGGATAGTATGAAGGGACTTAGTCTCAAACTTGATGGGTAATTACAAAAATGTTCCACTTCATAAAGATTTGGTTCATTATATAACAAAAGAAAATACAGTATGTGCTTGAAAATAAGCTTTGAGCTACCCAGCAGCTACCCAAAGGTGTATCCTACGGTGAATTACAGTGGTTCATCAGCTTTGTTTGGTTCACACTGGGGTCAAGCTACCAAGGTTAACCTACAAACCAAAGACCCATGTTTGCAGGCTGAGCAGAGCTTGTTTGTTCTGTAATAATGCCTAAACAGGTAGATTATCCAAGAAACAAACTCTAGTCTAACTTGGGTGAATTCAACAACTCTGTGTTAAACTGCTTATGGCCTCCCAGTGCCAAGACAGACAGTATGCTAAGAACAACATCCAGTCATACAAATTACTGTAGGGTGGTTAAAGCTTAGACAGTAACACACTGGCAATTATGTGAAGGAACGTAACTTTCAGCTGATTCCATTCACTGCCACTGTTAAGAAAACATCACAATCCTCTGTTTTGCATTGCAATTTTTCTCACCAATACTCATCCACTATAGAAATCTATAGGCACACAGTCATACCACTTGGTGCTTTTAAATTCCTGGATTAGATGCTTGTCTGTTAGGTATTTCAGCCTTGCATCTTACTGTACATAAAACTTTTGACTATCTTGGATAAATGGCAACGTAAGTATTTTACCCTGTGAATTCACATTCAAGCTGCAGACTTTCCCATCATCATCATCATCATGCTCAAGCTTTTAGCTCACTGTTTGTATTTTATTGACCGATGCTTGAATGCTTTACCATTTTTTATATAAATATACATTTTTCTTTTTTGGACATTCTAAGCTATATGCATAAACATAACTGAAAACTAATTATATCTCAGTTGTGTTCGGGTGCATAATCCTAAGAGACTATGCTTATGAAGAATGATTAAATTAGGGAACCTTCATAATATTATGCACAAAAATATGGTTCTAAATTACAGCTATTTAGGGGCACCATCATAAACCCTGAATAAGTGAATGGCAAAATGTGCTCAACCTTAGAAAGCTTCCTACCCCTGGCTGAACTTCACAGCTTGTTTTACAAGTTAAAAGAGCCAATAAGGCAAAAAGCCGGTCAGCCGGGTGTTCAGAAAATGGTTAGCCAGTTGGCGGCCCATCCAACCAGTCACACGTAAAGCCAAACAGTCTGCCAGTTAGCTAGTTAGTGAGGCAGCCAGCTCCACTCTCAAACAGCCAGCCACATATTTAGTCAGCCAGTGAAGCGGCCTGCAGAGCCATTGATGGAAAGCAGGCCACGGCTGACTGGCGACACTACAGCTGAAATCTTGGTAGTGATCTGGTCTGGACCGGCTCCTGTCATGTGTATCATCAAAGCGTTTCTTCCAGCACACAAAGCCAATCATTATTGAAGCCCACAGAAGGCAGTTTTATAAGAACACTAGAGCCTAGCTGTTGGAGCTGTATGGGCCATTTGCTGATTTGATAAATGCTTCTGAATATAAAAACCTCAAAAGAAACATAAAAGAGGGAATTGCACATGCCATAACATCTATGCACCTGGAGATTTCATTACAAAAGGTAATACTTTTCATCATAAAATGAAATGATTTCCCTTTGTTTGCCATGCTGCGTATAAATGCACGCATTGTCTTCTCTCTTCTCTACTCGCTATGTCTCTTTGTACTCAAGCAGAAGATGAAGGACTCACCTTCCCGCCGTGCCTGGCTGAAGGGCAATATTACAAGAAGCGGTGGCAAAGCTGGCCGATATTGAAAGTGTGAGGATTAATATTCCTCAAAAGCCTGGCCATTGTTTTTGATAAATCAATTTGGGAAGCCTTCTGAGAGCGGATTAGAGACGTGCCATGGCCCACTTTCCCCCCTTTCTCTCCCCCTACACTGCAGGTACTGGACCGGAGTTTTAATCAGTCGCGCATCAAAGACGGGCACGGCAACCTTCAAGAACACTTCTCCTCTGCCCACCCACCTAGCCGCTGCCATCGCTGCCACCTGAGCTATCCTCCGTCCTTTCCCAAGTTATCTACCTCTGAAATGCTTCCACCTCTCTTTTTATCTCCTGCATTCTGCTCTGTGTGTCCATGCATACCAAATACAGCTGATGTTAAATGATAGTGTCAGAGCAAGAACGCATGGCGTCAGGTCTTCTTGATGTTTAGATTTAGCAAAGGTTGTTGCATGAAATGTGCAACGACAGAAAATGCTTGATGCTCCCATCATATTAAAGCATCAATTTTTAAATTCCTGTTCTGTTATATTGCTTTAGTGTACAAATGCAGCTATGAGGAATGTTGAAAAATTACTCAAAGCAGAAAAAAGTCAAACGGAAAATTAAAAAAAAGCAGCAGCAGCTGAGAGATCAATGGGATGGTTATTGCTCTGGTTCCTTACAGGATTTATATCTAACTTTTATCTTTATCTATTTGATGTGAACAGTGCATACATGTATGTGTAGTCACAAGGTCTAAACATATAAATACGATTGTTCATGATGTTAAGTGTTAAATCTAAAAATATGATTATTTAAATTTAAAACAGGGGCAATGAAAAAACAACCTAAGTCATGTTCATGCTGCTCCTGCATGACTTTCCACAAAAGCACATTTTGTGCAGGCCACAAATGTCGATATGTCCCCTCCAGGGCAAACTTTCAAACCTATTTTCACAACCATAATTTTGTTAGAGTTTCATGACAGAAAAAATGTTTTTATGTCTCCATTTGTTCTGCAGGAATGAACTCAAGGTCATTTGGGTTAAAATGGGATGTAAAAGTGAAAACAGAAGTGAAATTAATAGGGGTTAAGATCTAATGTATTTCCAGACAATAATATATGATTGAATTAAATGCAATTTAAAGTGATTTTTTTTCCCTTTTACAATGCAAATTATATTAACACACATTGACATATGTACTTGTAAATTATTTGGTTTATTTAGAGGTATGAATCAGAAAAATAAATGTTTTGATATGAAACAGGCAAACCACCTTATTGATCTGGAACAGCTTAGGCTGCAATAACGGATTGTTGACAAGTATCTTTTAGTCTTGGGATAGTATTGATATTATTTTTAATTAGCAAAGATAATGTATTTCTTGCGTAACTCAAAGTCTTTCTCTGACTGACAAATCAGTGACAAATCCTCTCAAACATGAGCAAACAGGTATTTTAGATCACACCAAGGAAAAACTTAGGAATTGATCAAGAAAGAGTATTTCACAGCAAAGGAAAAAAAAACAACTTTTTGGATTTGGTTATTTATTTCCTGCATCATACACTAAGCTTTGTTTGTATGGTTCCAGATTGCATGTTTTTTAACAAAACACATGTTTTTTTTGCAAAAAAAAAAAACAAGAAAAAAATGGAATCTGTTCTATTGTGTTGTTTATGGTGCTAGAAGCTATATAATCAAGTACTTTCTTAATCTTTGCTTTTTTTGCTTTCTGAAGGCTTTCTTTAGGCTTAGAGAACTTCTTGAGCTCCTGCTAATTCTTAGATTTTAGTGTGGAGAAGGGTATTCTTTAGTCCATAGTTGTAAAATGGAATTAGTGTAAATTTAATTTTTTTTTTAAAATTTTTAATTTCCCGTTTTCACTTTAATATTTGGGAATGCATCTAATTTTAAATAATAAGGAGTTTAATTCCTGATTATATTAATCATTCCATGAAAATTTTTGTAGTTCTTGCATTTCCTTTATTATTATCAATAATTAGTGGCTTACACAGTTTATGAAGGACTCACATCAAAATATGAAGGTAAAATCCCAGCGATTGATGTCTAAGTTCTTTTGTGATCCCTTCTCAGCATGTTCTTAACATTCAGTTTCACACATGAAACAGATGTTATCAGCTACAGCTGGGACGGTGAAGACATAACCAGAGAAGATGAGTGGACCTCAAGCTGTTTTGTAGCTAATTTCTTTTATAACATCTCCTTATACAAAGAAAACTATATAATGCATGCAGGCAGCGACACTATGACCTACCTGATATGTGGAAACAGGGGAAGCAGCGATGAAGGGCGTGATGGAGGTCTGTGCGATCATGCGGTTGGTAGCGATGCTGTAAGGCGAGTAGAAACTGAAAAAAGAGAACAAAAGAAGCCAAAATGAAAAGATTTATACAGGAAAAGTTCTATAGTTACATAATGTAAATATAAAATAATCATTTGATTACAGTAATACACTCTTAAAACACTATAATTCAATTACTCCTGAATAATGAACATTTAAAAAGGCCCATGAAATAATGCAAAGATTATTCAACTTTTACAGTAGGTAAGCTCACATGACATGGCATACAGTAGTAGCCATTCAAAATTTCCCCACTTTCCTTGAAGGGTCCTTGGCTAGTCCCCTACAGTTCTTTTGAAGCATCCAAAACTTTCTTACTGTCATGATTTGTGGGCCGTAAGATCTTAAGAGAAGCGTTATCTTCTGGTCAGACCCTGTAATTCAGTAAAAGGGTGGAGTAAGAGTAAAAAAATATGCACGCCCCTGAGAAGGCCAGTGGCTGGAAGTTGGAGGGGATTTTGCTGCCATTTGTCTGGCTTCTGACTGGGAAGGGCGATTTTGAACGGCTGCGAATATATACATTTTTCAATGTTTATATCTAAATAAAGCGAAATTTGCATTCTTAAGAAGGGACATCTTCTTTTAAGTCCTATTTTTTTAACATATTGTTACAAAAAGTCTAACATCAACCATATTAACCTGCCTTAGCCCAACATTTCTGCATTACATTGGGCGTTGCTCAAACATTTTTCTCACCTGCATTTATAAGGTCTCATTGCAGCACTTCACTTACTTTGAGGCATGAATTATTTCTAGAAAATTACAACCTCCTAATTAAACTATTTTCAGCTATTCAATTGCTGTTGTGTTGCTTTGTTTTTGGGAGTAAACCTTTGCTAGTCTCAGAAATAGAGCGCAATCTTACTTCAGAATACGTTGGATAATAGTTTATTTAATGGCTGCAAGGTCCCAGGTAAATTGCCTTAAATTGGTGTTAAAGCTAAAATAAAACTTTACTTTAGAACTTTTAATACAACTTAAAATTTAATTAATAAAAATAAGAAATGTCATTAAACAATGATTTAAATAATTTATCAAAAGGACCACACATCTGAAAACCTGGTGTACTAATATGCACTATTTTTTTTATGTGTGATGGGACAAGTGAGGTGTAATATATTTATGTAGATGTAATTATATTTTTGTGTATAATAAAAAACAATAAAGTGAATTAGCTGTTTTAGAATTTTATATTTTTCTGTATTGAAAGCCCACAGATTGCTTTCAATGCAGCAAAAAAAAAAGCTTGTCATGCAGTTTAACAAAAATCAAAA